GGGACACAAAGAAATGCACTGCAAAATATATCGACGGCATCCAATGAAATACGAGCAGCAAGTTGTCGTCCAAGAAAATATGTGACCTTGGACATTAATAATCACCGTATTCGCATCCGATTAATAATATTTGGAGCCAAATGGAAAGTTCCTGGTCACTAGAGAGAAGTCTGAAGTACGCTGCCTACAAGCAACCACGAATCCTAAGAAATGGGAACCCCAACCTGAGCTGAAACCGGATGATCTTTGGCACATACTTACTGGCCCTCTACATACGAAAAACTATATTGTCGTTTTGGGCGCTTTTATAAAGTGGCCTGATGTTGACGCTATGCCGAAACTGACAGCACAAGCAACAATCAGGCAGTCGTCGGTTGCTTCGGAGATCTTACTGACGATCGACATTTAAAGTTTTGTGGCAAGAGTGAAATAAATCCCAGGTATTGCGCGACCTTACCCGTTATCTTCAACCCAGACGTGTGTGAAGGTTATGGGTTCGGACCCAACGTGCGGGTGTCGTGGATACACACCACGGATGAGTCTCATGCCAGGACGAAACGGCTGTCAAGTGCTTCCAGTGGTTGTCTAACAATAATCGATCCATAATTTGAATGAAGCTCAACGATCTTCACAACTCAATAATGAAAATGGAATTGTCCACCTACGATCGTCACCACACCAGCCAAAGTCCAATGGACAAGCTGAAAGATTTGTAGATACGTTGAAAAGGGTGTAGATTAAAGAGTGGAGAAATACCGATGTATATAGTATATAAACTCTTAATATCTTATCGAGCTACCCCAAATCCTGCAGTTCCTGGCAGAGTTCATGTTCGGTAGAAAAATTCGATAGCATGCCACCACCCAGACGAATGAACAGAACTAAGAACCAACTTACACAGTTTTCACATGGGAGAAAGGTTACTTATCAAAGTATATCAGAGCAGTAAAAAATCGGAGGCCGTAGCAGTCCAGCGAAGAATCGGTAAATACCTGGTTCGAGGAAATGGCGACACACAGAAAGCATGTAGACCAGACGCTAAAAGATAAGCGGACAGTAATTATAGATGAAATTCCACTCGAAATTTCGATAACAGTTTTCATAGAAGAGCGCATGATCAAGGAAACGGGAGAGTGGGTAAGGGTGACCCTACTACCACGGGAAATGGACCGCAAGAGTAACAACACAAAGACTGCAAATGAACACCGTGCGCAAGTCATATCCCAAGTGTTGAAAAGAGGGTGCCGCGATGGCTCACGGAAGCCTTCGGAGGCTCCTGAGAAGCTGAAGTGTTTCCGTCAAGTCACAGCTCGATAAGATTCCTAGAATGTTGATGTGGCATGAGGTGATTGGATGATGATATAACACCACTGGTTAAGGATTGAATAATTTTATATGCTGTTTTCATTACGTACACACACTTTCTCTGTAAATTATTGATACTAAATAGAGTGAAGACTTCTTGTCTTCCCCGGCCCATTATAACCAATAAGTATAACTATTCGCTAAGTACAGTGTACAATACAGTCTTCTACCTTCTGTAGTGATTAATGATCCAATCAGAAATAACGTAGTCAGTAATTGATAAATACAGCTGATTAAAACTTCAGAGACATCTGTTATTATTAGCGGTTATTTTACTAATGTACTTAATTTGATAAAACTGCACAAAGCTATCAATAGTTAAAACTAAGAGCTTGGTCACACCGAAACACATTGAAAGAGACATGATGATCAGTTGTATTAACAGAATCTTTTAATATCTGTTCACTTGTATCAGAGCCGCTCTATAGCAAATTTTTACAATACTCCGCTAACATTCATGCAATAAGGCACACTTAGCTTAATGAGGAAATCAATGTTTTCAGATGTTATAAACTGCTATTTTTGTGTTTTTACAAATATTTATTCAGAGATTTAATAACTGCGATGGATTCGACCGATAATGCAATACATAGAACAAAAGCTTTATTATTTGATAACATTACAATGAAATACTAACAACACTCAAAAATGTGAACAGTATTTCGACTAACATTATTAGTATTCAGAAACAACGCGTCAAAACTTTGCATACACATGCAAAACAAAAAAACGAATGCAAGAAATTTTCACTGTTCACAAATGCGTATATGATAGAAATACGTCTCTACATGTACAGAAATTAGCGAGAGAGAGAGAGAGAGAGAGAGAATGTCCTTCAAATTAAAAATACATGTGTAACAATAACAAATAAGCATAGAACTAAAAACAATTGTGAAATTTTGAAAGTAAAAAGAACACTAATTATCAATAGTTATGAAGAAGTTCAGGAATATTATGGTCATATATATAAATATATTAGTGAGCATCCGTAAGTGCAACAACTCCAGGCAATTGTTTACCTATAACAGAGAAACAAACATGCAAGTTAAATGTGTCATGTGATAGGTAGCTGAAGAAAGGTAGATATGTATTAACTAAAAGCCCTACACTAGGACAAAACAGGAGACTAATGATTCTTCGTTTTCTTAAATGACTACAATCGTGAGTGTCAAAAACGAAGAATATTTGTTATCAGTAACCTTATCTTCAGGATATGCAGAAATGAATCGATTAGTATGGTATTACCATGATTAAAATAATAATCTAATGAGATCTTATTTTGTTGTGTTAAGCTGTTGTGAGCTTACTTTATTGATAACAACTTATTAGCTGAAGTATTTCCTGATTCATTTACACATGAACTTGCAAACGTAAGAATGATGCATCCAAGCCACAATCGGTGTTAAAGCTACTATTTTCAGTGAGTAAAACTGACTACTTATATGCATAACATACTAATAGGCATCGTGTGATTGACAATAATAATGACTTCTTTGAGCTAATAATTAAGGTTGAGTTCCTGATGAGATATACTAGTGTCAAGTGCAATGCTGCTATAATTCCAAATACAATAGAAAATGTGCCAATTCTATCATGATGTCAACAAATAAATTCAAGCCGCGCTTACCTTCAAGAAGTTCAAGACTAGCACCACCACCGGTACTGACATGACTGACTTTATCTTCGGTGTCCCATTTGGCGCAGCAAGTTGCAGTATCACCACCACCTAAAAAAGCATATCAAAGAAGGAAATGGATAGTTCAAAACTAATTTAAAACATAGACTGTATATAGGAAATGGATAAACTTCTCAATTGTTAAGACGCAATCAAATACTTCTACTTACTACATAGATTGCGATTTATTCTTGTAACTACTTTATGATGAAAATAACTCATTTAAATCAATGACAATAAAACAATCTGATATATTGAACCTACCAATAATAGTTGTAGCACCTTTCTTAGTAACTTCAACAACTGCATCCATTATTGCCTTGGTTCCGGCAGCAAAATTATCCATTTCAAAAACACCCATTGGACCATTCCAAACAATAGTTTTAGCGCGACTAATTACATTGCGAAATTCTTCAATTGTTTTTTTACCAATATCTAATCCCTAATGAAATAAACAAAGAAAGTAGTGAATAGAGCACTAGTAATTAAAAATGTTATGAATAATGTTGTTTTTTTTTCACATCAGATACATTAAGGAAGTACATATTTTTTACTCAAATGATGACATGAATCGTAATTTAGTGATCATCTTCAAATAATCCAAAACGTCCGAGAAATTGAATACGATTGAGTTTAATTGGAGTACAAAGTTTGGAGTTCTGGAGAAGTTTCATTTATCCATGCGCTATTGTCCAAAACTAAAAGGATATATTTTTTTCAGAGCTCTTTAATTCACAATATGCCTCTCAATGATACTGCTATTGTGATGAAAAATCACCTTACTGTCCTATCTTTTTAATTGGGTCGATGGGGTAGATATGCATGGACTTTTTCAGAAAAGCCGAATAATTTGATTTAATCAGTCTAAGTCTACGCTCAAGGTTGCTAGGATAAAGAAGAATAAGACACAAAACAATTTTTAAAAAAAATGTATGTTAGTCACTTTTGTTTTATAGGAATTTAACCTACCATCCAATCATCTGGGATTCCAGATTGTATAGTTGCTGCTCCAGTGTTTGCATCATCAGCAAATTTATCAGCAGTTACAAAATCAACAGGTAAGTGAATTGCAACATTCTTAGCCTTCGCTGTCTCCATTACTTTGAGAACGATTTCGGCACCTGGTGCATCAAATAAACTTTTTCCTATCTGAAAAAAAAACAAAGAATAAAATATAAACACTTTACTCATGTCACATTCTAACGGTGAAACATGAGCCTTGACAGCATAAAAGACTCAAGAGTTGAACAACTTTAATAACAAATGTAACTGAATCAATGTTGTACCACACCTATAACTGGGTCCGAAGACGTCTAATTTGTTAAACCAGTCAATTAACATATTAAACAGACAGTGTCATTCGGTCAGTAAAAATCTGTTTACTTCGTACGTACGTATATCAGTTCAAGTTGCCATACCACAATAGCACAGAGACCTATACAAATATTCCCCTTACTATCTTAAATGCTGGTTGCTTGAACCGCTCAATAACTCATTCCCTTGCCTAGAATATTTGTGCTTTCAAACCTATCAATTCGTTTACTCGCATTCATTCTCAGTTGCACCTCGGTGCGTATTTGCTTTGTGCACTTATAACATCATAATCAGCACTGAACGAGAATAAACTGTAGTCAACACTTCGTTCTTTCTTCTGAAATTTATAAACCATTGGAAGTTACCTACTAACGGTTATGAGGACGAGAAATATAAGCATAGGAATTATTTCGAAGAAACTCCACAACAGCATTACTCGAATGTAGTATAGTGAAAATAATTGGGCAATATTATTAGAATATTAGATAAATATGATAATTCAGTAATTTTATAGACTGTAATAGATTGAAATTGCTAGAATACATTTTAAGCAAGTTCAGCTACCATCTACTAAAGAACTATTTTATTTGGTATAAAATTAAGAAACATAATTAGGCTAATTAAAGCAATTTATTGAGCACAGATTTTGGTCGACTAAGTTTGCAGTTATACGATTTGTGAATTGATAATATTATAATCAACCGTAAAATCCTAAGGTGAATGGATTTCAAATGTGCGACTGCATGACTATATATTCCTAAATGGAACTTGAACTTGTCCTAATACTATTAAAAGATATGTACTAACTAGTTGACCCGAATATTAGGTATTAACATATTTATTACCATCTTGAAATATGTTTTTGATTTTCGTTTAATGTAACTATTCCTACAAATGTAACGCCGCTCTATTTTCTTTAAGAAAAGGGGGAATGAAAGGTTGAAATGACCGTTATTACTAAAGCGAATTGATCATGCTATCGATGACATCTGAAAGCTTGTAGGCTTTCCCTTTTAGAGGAACTGTATACCTGGACAGTTGATTTGAAAACCTTGTATCATGATGAAATCAAGTGTGATACAGTACACAGGTTACTTTTGTTGGTTCTGACATTTTGTATGATAACGATAATAGAAGCTGGATTCTTACGATTAGTTATGAAGTGATTCAATATGACATTCGTTAGTTATTACAAAATTTCACAAAAGGGTTATTCAGTTGCTAGACATGTTATAGTTGTTCAAGCACAGCTGTTAATGAATGGAATGTAAAGTTACGTATAAGCGTACTGAAACATAATGCGTTTCATTTAATTTCCATAGATTGTGTTTGTCTTTTCTGGCAGCCGTTTGTTACGTAGAAGGATTGAGTTGTGGCTAGTATAGAAAAAACCCAATACCTTACAGTTGATATCAAATACGAGAGTTGGGAGAGGGGGGCAGTTTTCTTATCATTATTAATGGTAACACTGAAGAAAAACTATTAGGACTTAGTACGCACATCAAAATCGTTACATTCTACCATCCTATTTACTTTTCAGAAGTTATATCATTTTAAAAGATACAATGTAATCCATACACAGTTGCTAAAACGCATAAATAATTCAAATGTCTGCGTGTAATTACAAAAACATATGATGACTTACTTTCATATTGTGTATTTGTTTAAGAAACGTATACGCCATACCACCACCAATGATTAATTCATTGACTTTATCAAGCATATTATTGATCAACTGGATCTTGTCACTAACCTTGGCGCTAAACAAAAAAAATATTTAAATCATATATATAACAGTTTAAATTTTAGTAAAAACTTGAAAAGTGTATTAATACAAGGGACATACATGCAGTCAGAGATCTTGAACGACATGGCTCGAAACCATTTGCAATGGCGCAGGTGCATTCATACTTTTTGTTCTCTTAAACCCTAACCTTCATCATCATCACATTTATCTATTTCTTTTTCAAGTTTATTTCACTAGATTCTACTTCTTGAATGATATGTTCGAACCCTAATCTTTCCGACTACTGCCAATGCTTCTACTACCTCTACTACTATGGGATTTGAGGTGATAATTGTGTCTCTGTTCTAATGTGGTATGGCAACATGAACTGATGTACGTGCGTACGAAGTTCTACGTTGTAAACGACTGACTGACTGACATGCATGCGGCAAATAAACAAAATTCTTACCCTCCCAAAATTGCTAAGAAAGGACGTTCAGGACTTTCCAGAGCCTTGGCAAAATAGGTCAGTTCCTTATTCATGAGGAATCCACAGGCTTTTTGAGGCAGTTGGCAGCCAACCATAGAACTGTAAAGCAAAATGATAAAAAGCATTAGTTCAATTACAGGTAAATGGATTTACTATAAAAATAACTCAGTATGCAAAAGAATATGAAGCCATGTCTCAACAGTTAGGGTACTCTGTTTTCGGCCATACAGTCACAAGTGTGAACTTCTCTTCACCTGCTTCGGCTAAGGGGGTCATGTAATATCACTAATCTCCATATAATGTAGCTAATAGTGCACGAACCCGTCCCTATTAACTGAGTCTATAAAATAACACTACGTGTTGGTAGGCTAAGTAGAAATGATTCAGCGTCAAATTATAACAAAAATAGTGCAATATGCAGGCTGCTATTATTTTGAATGATTTCATTTGAGATAAGCTTTATTTTATGGTTGATTATATTTTTGTTGAAAACTTTTTTCGACATGACTAATGTATGGTGAATTCTATAAAAGTGTATACGATTTTGCGTTATCCGATAAAATGAAACAGTAAATGATTCAATTGTGTAATTTCTTTTTATATATTTCTAATTTTGATAAACTCTTTTAATGTTAGGTTTAAGAACTATGACTCCCGATTTTACGAATTACTTTATAAGAGCTGTTAGTGTGTAAATTATCAAGTTTGATGACACTCAGAGAAGGCATGGTGACGTGTTCTCGGCATTAATATATTTTCTGAAGTCAAACGTAATAGCTGCTTTCAGACTAACTACTAATGAGTTTACGGTAGTGACGTCAACTAACGCTTTTTACTGAACTGTAAAAGCTGATTAAGTTTAGTTTAGTTTACGCCTGTTACCCCTGATGGTGCATAAGCCGCCGAGCAGCATCTTCCGACCTAATCTGTCCCGGGTCTTCCTTTATAGTTATACCCAATTGCTGTTCATTCATCTCATGTCTGTTTCCGTTTCTCGGAGTGATGTGTTCTCTGGTCAAGTAGGTACACTAAGCGATAAGTAAAGACAACTGGGTGGATCTTACGGTGTCGTGGCTCAAAGATCAGAAAATGGTGACCCTTTGCTACAGCTTTGCTCAGATAACCGCCTATTTCTAGCAAATACTAAATTGAAGCACAATGAAAAACATCTTTTGACATGGTGACATCAAAAGTCGTTACAACGCTGGAACCAACTAGATCACATCTCTACCAGCTACCGATGGAGGAGTTCGATAGAAGACTGTTGCTCGTTCTAGAGTGCATGTTTAGATTAAGACTATGCTCTAGTGAGAGCGCGCATTTGTCTGCGGCTTACTCGACGCAGAAAAGACATCGCAATGAAACCTCTTAGGGTTCTACTTAATGATAGCATAGCTAAGAATATACTTCAGCAGCAACTAGAAAACGTTAGGTGACCATGTAAGTGATTCTCACCCCAAGGCAGGTTGAAATGAAAATCGGAAAGCTGTGGAAACAGCAGTGATATCTGCTAGTAAGGTAAACCATAAGGTTAGGGAGAAGCTATGAATCTCAGTAGCATATACTGATCTGATAGATGCATGGGAACTCATCGCGTCTAGCTCTGAACATGACGAAGAGCCGAGTGAACTTAGGCGCAAGCTGATAAAAAGCCTATGCAATGATCGATTGATTGAGATCTTTGTAGAATCTGGGAACTGGACGTAATCCCATCCGACTGATCTCAATCACTGATTGTCCCAATTTATAAGAAAGGACAAAAGTCTTCTTGTGACAGTCACAGGGGAATAAGTGTAACTAATATAGTTTCTAAATTGTTAGCCTCCATTATATTTAGACGCGTAACTAGAGCTCGTGAAGAGCAGACTAGAGAAAACCAGGCTGGTTGTAGACACGGACGTGGCTGCACAGACCACATTTTTACACTACGACAAGTCCTGGAACACAGACACACACTTAGGCGTCCTGGACCTTGAGGCGGCATTCGACTCTGTGGATCGTGAGGTTCTGTGGCAGTGTCCGTTATTGAAAGGTGTACCAAAGAAGTATATAAACCTTATAAAAGCTCTCTACTCGAACACTACTGGTCGAGTGAGAGCTTATGGTTAAATGTCATCGGAATTCTTTACTTCAAGTGGTGTCCGTCAGGGATCTCCACTCTCTCCATTCTTGTTTAATTTTTTCATAGACCTGATCCTAGATATAATCTTATCCTCGTCTGAAATTTTAGGAGTGGATCTTTTATCAGGAGATTCATTGGTCGAATTAAAATATGCCGACGACACAGTTCTATTCGGTGAAGACGCTGACGAAATGCAGTCTTATGACTACCCTGAGCAGCAATGCAAGCAGATTCGGGATGCGGTTCTGCCCGTCGGAACGCAAAAGATTGCTTCAAGATTGACTTTCATTGGCACCTGAACTAGTGATAGGAAATGAAGCAGTTGAGCGTGTTGACCGCTTCGCTTATCTCTGTAGTCTCATCAGTGTTGATGGCTTGGTATGTGCGACGAAATCTCATCACGGATACAGAAAGCTCAAATGGCTTTTGCCAGCTTGCGTCACTTATGGCGTAGGTGATATATCCATTTGCCAGCCAAAGGCCGAGTCTACTACACATCAGTTCTCTCTGTCATACTATATGGATGCAAGACGGAGTCTGTAAAATTTGAAGATATTACGTATGCCTAACCACTGACTACTTCGATGAGCTATGTTTCGTGGTGTGGGAGTAGGTTGAAAGAAAGCTAGGGGCGGCCAGGCCAAAACATGGCACAAGTCCATGTCACTGGTTATCGCTAATATTTCTACTATCGCCACCATTGGGGGATTTGAATTGACAATTGGATCTCTGTGCTAATATGGTATGGCGACTTGAACTGATGTACGTATGTACGAAGTTCCATATTGTAGCTGACTGACTGATATCAATAATAGGATTAAGAAAACAAAATATATACAAGCTTAACCTACGCATGAGCGCGATGTGCTGTTCCAAAGGCATCATTGACGTAAACATCACCAAGTTTTGTTAAACTTTCACTGAAAGCTTTGATTTGGTCTGCAGTAGCTTTTGTCTGTCAAAAAAATAGAATATTAAGTTTGCACTAACTATTGGAAGACTAAATAACACAACAAAAAATGCAAGTGTAAAATAAATGATATAGGACTATGACTGAATACGCAGACGAGAATGTCTTTACGTGGCTAATGAATGTCCAACAAACTTGGTCGACCATAACCTGTTTTACACTAAGTTACGAACTAACTAGCACGATAGTTTCTTAAGCGAACATGTGTAATGACATGAAGTTTAAGAATTAAACATGAGAATTTACAAACGCTTGGGGGATAAAATTCTAAAAGATCATTACAGCCAGAGATTATCAAATAACCTAATGAATTATATTATTAAATTCCGTAGACTGGCCAACATTATACAAACGTCTATTACATAGGGGTATTAGGACTAAATAAATCTATTCTCGTGAAATAGATAACATCCAGACAATATTTTTTTTTAAATTCACGAACCTCACACGAATGTCCACAAATCAATCTGATGAACTGAGGTGACAACACATTCCCATTACACGAAACCAGTGACATTAGATCAGCATTTGTTTATAGGTTATGGCATTAAATTTTATTTAACCACATTCATAACCTATTACTTAAACTTGTAATAAATTTAAAGCCGGTACAAGCCTCCTCATTTCTGAATTAAACAGAATAGACGTCGAACCTCCTTGATAATCAAGGCTGAAATGAAAGTATTGAAATAAGGATTGCTTGCACAGAATTCTCCCAAACATTTTGGAAACAATTCTACCAGTTACGGATGCATAGGTTGTGGGCTTTGAAAATTTACCAATATAATAGCATACTAAATGACTAGATCCGGCTTGTGGTGCTACAGCATTGCAAACATTTTATAAGCAGGAATAAAGGGTCGAACTAACTTTTTCGCCTGTTGGTGAGACACCTTTGCCTTCTTCCTCAACATGAAAGCGTAGATTTTCAAGCAGAAAAACGCTGCCAGGAGCAGGATTGGCACAAGCGTTGACTACATCAGGCCCAACACAGTCACTGAGAAAAGTAACTTCTTTGCCCAACAACTTTGACACTTCAGGGCATACAGGTTTCAGTGAATACTTATCAACTTTGTTTCCATCTGGCCGACCTAGATGGGACATCAAGACGATACTTTTGGCTCCCTTATCTAAAGCATATTTGATGGTTGGTATAGCAGCTGCGATTCTAATTTGGCATAAATTAACTTTGATTTCCGACTGTTACCTTTGAGTGTTAGTCACTTTTCCATCTTTCATTGGTACATTGAAATCAACTCTAAGTTGGATAAAACTTTGGTTGATAATCACTCTTCTTACCGAATAAGAACACGCTTCCCTTTAAGGTCGACATCCGAAATACTAAGCTTCGACAAACCCATCACGTAGACACACTGAAATATTAATGTGTCCTCCCCAAATTGTGTCCTACAAAAGTGAATAGAAAAACAAAACCCTCAGTACCTAATTAAATAATACCGAAGGCTTAAAAGTCAAATCGTGTAGAACTCACGTTAGTTTACGGACAATAAATTTCTAATTTTTGAGGTTCTTCAAGTTTTCACTAAGTCTCAAGTATTTGGAAAGTTGGCATTGTTACCTCGATTGACCTTTTCAAATAACTTGAAGTACCTTTCGTCCAACGTAGTGCTGAGCTTGAAAGATAATATATCCAGTGCTTGGTGATATTTCACCAACCCTAAAAATCCATAACATGTGCATGCAAATGCGCCACCTAAGTGATATCTTTGGTTAACAGCAGAGAGTGGGTTAGAAAACTTGGATGCAGAAAACGTACCTGAAAATAAGATTAATTTACCAAAGATAACCTAACCAGTAGCACCTCCGGACGAACTTATTAAAAACAAGTGAAATGACAAGCAAGAACCTTGGTAGCCTAATAATAATGCTTATTGTGTAATAGTGATGAATGCTACTCGAAACATTGCTCACAAGCAGTATGCTGCGGAACGTTGTGTGGAGGTTGACAGCTGAATTAAGAAGTTTCAGAAGGTCGAATACCAGAAATGAAAAGCGAGGAGACAGTTCAAAGGCAACTTCAGCGGAAGAACAAACAAGATGCAGATGCATTAATTGTATAAATATTCTGTAGTTTTCCTAAATAAATGTTCCTTCCTGCAAGTGCCTTGTTCATACATTGGAATTAAACAAAATTAAAAAGAGATATCACGAGGCCAGTGATAAATATACTCCTTCATCCAGAAGGGGCTTTTCTTTAGATTTATCGGGATTTACCTTGATAATTTCTCGAAGGTGTATATTTATATCAACTCACTATAACTGGTGATAGACGACTACCAACATGCATCAAATTAGGTGGGCCTGTCATTTTTCTATTCAGTTTTCTTACAATTTTAACTGTTGTGTAATATATATCGATATTTTCTTATATATATAACATAATTACAACAACGTTTGAAAATGGTAGATAGACCCAAAAATGACTATAACTCAGCAGACTCCCAAATACAGGTTCTTAATTTCCGACCTATTGCTTTTATTCCCCACGACCCAGAGGTCTGGTTCGCGGAACTAGAATCTCAGTTTGGGATCCGCCGCAGCACAAACCTGCGGCAAATGTTTGCTTACGCCTCGGAGTCTCTTTTTATGGACCAGATTGCTGTTCTTCGTGAGGTTGTTCTCAACCCTACAGTTCCTGATGTCTACGATCGTCTTAAACAGGCGATCCTTGGACATTTCCTCCCGTCGAGGGAGGAACAATTATCAGCACACCACCTCTGGGTGATGCTAAACTAAGCCACCACCTCACGCTCCTGCAATCCTTGGCAGGACCCATGACAGCTGACTGTGAAATAGAGAATTGTGACTCGAAGCATTACCAGCTCATGTGCAGCCAACGATAACTGTTCTTCTCGACGATACACCAATTAACCAGGCTGCCCTCATAGCAGACAAGATAGTAGCGCGGATTACCTCGCGAGACAACTACATAGTTGCCTCTACGTCACGCGCAAACCTTGATCTCGACGCTAATCACCTTCAGGCTCAACGAGACCAGGGGTTCATGTTTCTACAGCCGTCTCAAATTTCCAGACCCTTCGCTTCTGAACCCCACGTCCCGCGAACCCGCTTTCGATCAAGAAAGGCTGCAGGTACCCGCCTCCAGCGTGCATCTTCCAAGCCACGCCAAAAGGCGGTTCGGGAAGCTAGTACTGATTGGTGATGGTCCCACCGGACTTTTAGGTCTAGCACCCGTCGTTTTCGAGCCCCCTTCTCATACAAGGTGGGAAACTTCCAAGCCGACGAGTAAACGCGGCCTTACTCGTTGGCCCCTCACCTCAGGTTGGCCGCCTATTTTACGTGCACTTTATCCGCACTAACGCTAGGTACCTCGTTGACATAGCTACCCAAGTTTCTTTTGTACCACCTGGTAGCAGTAAGTCTCAACCTACGATGCTTCAACTACTCACTGAGAATGGACTTGTCATTACTACCTATAGTACACGACAGCTGACGGTCAACTAGAGCAACTGACAACAGCATCTGTGGACGTTCACCACCATATCGTCACCTGCGGACCACCAGTCACGGCACTACCTTGCCGATTGGCACAGGACAAATTAGCTTTCGCTAAACGTGAGTTTGACAATTTACTAGCTCCAGGTATTATTCGTCGTTCTTACAGTCCTTGGGCCTCATCACTCCACCATATTTCGCAAAAGCGATGGGATAATTTGGCGACCATCTGACGACTACCGAGCAGTAAACGTAGTAACACGTTTCCATAGCTATCCCATCCCCCCCCCGCATATACGAAATCACGGCATCTCTTGAGGGCACGACTATCTATTCTAAGATTGATCTGGCACGAGCATATCATCAGATCCCAGTTGCTCTTGAAGATATCGAGAAAACTGCCATTTGGATTACGGAATACTGCTCAAACTTTCCAAAGGTTTATCGATGGCATAGTACAAGACTTCGCTTTCACTAACGCCTATACTGATGACCTAATTGCATCATCAAACGTAGATGAACATAATCAGCGTCGGATGATGGAATAGTAGTTAACCCAGGCAAGTATGAACTAAGCAAGGTCACATCATTAAGCATGAAGGTATTCTATCTTGTGAAAATAAAGTTCGTACAATCATGGAGTACACTGTACCGTCCTCACTCAATGAAGTGAAGGCTTTTCTCGGTTTGGTTAACTTTTACCGGCGTTTTATTCCTCATGCGGCAGAACAGTTACAATCATTAACCGACTTACTTCTTGGTAATCCACGTAAATCATAATAGAATGATGCCGCGCGTACTGCATTTTTAGAGATAAAAAAGCTTTAGCTGAAGCGACGCTTCTCGCCAATCCTGATCCATCAGCCACGCTTAGTATAGCGGTTGGTGTATCAGATTTTGCTATGGGATCTGTTATGCAACAGAATATCTCTGGAAGTTGGCAACCTCTTGAATTTTTCTCACGATGCTTTACTCCCACTGAGACGAGATGTAGCACTTTTGGTCGCGAACTGCTAGCAGCCTACTGTACCATCAAACATTTCCGGCACGCAGTAGGTTTTTACTTTATCCTCTTCACCAACCATATGCCTCCGACGTATGCTCTGCGTACCAAGTCTGACCGCTACTCTTTACCAGTGTGCAGACATGTGGACTATATCCCCCAGTTTACGACAGACCTTCGTCATATTGCCGATGCTCCGTCATGTATTCAAGTGAATGAAGTTACTTTACCGGTGCTTCATCTTCCTGCTGTGGCCGCTGCCCAAGATAAAATAACTTGCACTGTTGAATGTAGCAAAATGTTTGCTTTTATTGTGAGGGATTTTGCGATTACGTTCATTCTGAACCGATGATCCTACAATCCATACTGGAAACATCTGTAGCGGTAGAAAGTCCCCAAAGTAAATTGTTCTGTAAGTTTTTTACATTGCTTCTGACCTCATTGGTTCTGGGGAGCACTCCCTCATGAAGGCGCCCATCACTAAACCTCACCAAATAACCCTGAAGTATTCCATTTAACACACCTACTTGCATCAACGAATAAGCTTAGTTCACCTAGTCCTCGAGATCACATTATTTAAATTTACCCTCACTTTCACGCACTTCTGACGTGCGGTTAGATTTAATATCCTCGACCCGAAGTGTTACGGAAAAAGGGTCATAAAAATCTGGGTATCAGTGACACTTGTTACGCTAAAGTATTTAGCTCGGCCAGACATTAGATTTTAATGTCGCCAATCAAGCATTTGCGAAAGCTTGATTGTGGTTCACTAAATTTGGTTCCTGTTTAATATACATTTAATATAAACAGCAATTCAAAAATATTTCTTTAAAGATATTGCTCTTAAGTAATAATCACTTTATTTTATGTCAAGCGTGCGCAAATACTAATTTGGAAGATTATTTAACCGGTATGTCGGTTTCAATGACCATGAACTATTACAGCAAATTAAGGCACACAGATCGGCCACATAAACTCATAAGCATATTTTACCATACAAAGTTTTAACTTACAAAAATTTTAACAGAGGAATTTATGATTACCTCAAAATCAATAAAGAGCTGTTAGAACTAGAGTCTTAAAAGGGTCACTTCAGTTATTTTGCCTTTATGTTATTAAAATGGACTGATACGATGTTCTGATGCGATAAAGTTCTACAACACCGGAACCCAAGTTTCCTCTACCAAAATATTCCGAGAACCCATTGAAGGGTTAGAGGGAACTGATCAGAAAAGCATATTCGGACTACGAACAAACCTACGTAGCTATGTTTGTCCTGTTACTTGTGCTGTTTGACAAGTTACTTATTTTGAGGAAGTATTCACTGTTAGACTATCTAGAACGAATCCTCCTCAAACATGGTTATTCTCAAATTTTCCACATCATGTACTGCTTCCATGCATTATCGATATATTCTTTGAGTTGAGATAATCTGAGCAGCATCCACGGACCTCTTAATCGATGTCGACCTTCCAAGAGATCAGCATGGTTATCAGATAAATCAAGAGAGGCAAAGCAGCAGGACCAGACAACATTCCAGCAGAGGCAGTGAAAGCAGACGTGGCAGCAACAGCAAAAATATTTCACATTCTGTTCAAAAAGATTTGGGACGAATAACAAGTACCAACAGATTAGGTGAAGTATACCTGATGAAAACGCCAAAGAAAGGCTATCTCAGCAAGTGTGAGAACTATAGAGACAACACTATTCTCTAACTACCAGGCAAAGTCTTCAAAAGAGTGTTGTTGAGCTGTAAGAGGGACTGCCCAACTTTGAGATCAACAGGCTAGATTTTGTAAGGATCGATCATGTACCCACGAAATTGCAACATTAAGGATGAAAAGCAGCTGACAGTCTCGTTCGAGATGAAGACCGGTGTCAGGAAAGGTTGCTTACTCTCACCCTTTCTCCTCGTGATCGACTGGATTATAGAGACGTCAACATTTGGAGGGGAAGCTCAGTATACGTTGGACAGCCAGAATGCAACTGGGCAATCCGGATCTCCTATCCCGCAAGCAATACAAATGCAAGAGAAGACGACTAGTGTGGTAAAAGCGGGTCTCAACATACATAAACGGAAAAGCAAGATTCTCCGATATAACACATGTGCCAACCAAATCACTCTTGACGGAGATGGTGCTCAGTGGCCTATGCTCCATTGGGTGAAAAGGTTTGAGCAAGGACTAGAAACGTTGTTAGGGAATATTCGGTTGGTAGTTAGTGCAGGTTAAACTTAAAAATTTGCAACCCTTCTAACAACAAGAGTTGGTAAACCAGTTTTTATAGAGAACACTATCTCCGAAAATGGAAAACATGGAGGTAAACTTGACGTGGTTGGATAACATAACTAAGGTCGGGAAGTAGCCTCCACTGAATTAACTCAAAGGAAAACAAAGATGGTAATGGTTATGCAGTAATCCTACTTAACTGCATACAGAAGCAAAGGAGAACAAAACTCCCAAAGTATTTTCTAGGAGTAGTAGTGTTTTAAGTCAAGTCATACTATATTCCCCAAGGAAACTCAGTCAACCGAGTAATAACAATGGGTTGGTCATTTATTCAAACAGTTCATATATTTACTGCATCAAAGTAATGTGAATTCAAGTCTCATCTTTTTGTTTGTACGTTTTCATTTAATATATTCTTCAAAATTATTAGTCAGTACTAACTTCTGGTAAGAATTTTGTTGATATATTTGTCGTAATTTGTAACATAGAACGAACGCTAAGGATGGAGTATAACCTTATCTCTACAAATGCAGACAAGTATAACCACAATATATATGCTCCCAAGAGTTAATGGGAGCGATGAGGAATTACAACTGAGTAGGCTGAAACACTGCTTTGTGTAGCCGGACAGCATTAGACGCAACAAATTAGCGTACTTATTCCAGTGTAAAGTCACAGAGGCGTGGTTACAGTTGAACGTATTGTCTCAAAAAGACCGTTATCCAAATACACTGAAACTAAGGAATTCGGAGTAGATTAACAAATTATAACACGGAAATCAACACATCCAGTACAGTTTTGCTGGTGCGAATAACTAAACCGTATGCCTGAGTCAAAGTGACGCCTAAAATGTACAAAACAAGAAATCTATTCACAGATCAAGACTGAACAATGTATTACTTCGTATGTGTTTACGCAGCATGATTGAGAGTAAATGATTTTATGTAGTACTCAAATAACCCTATTATTAAAAGCTTGAATTATCGGGATTAGTTTTGAGTGGAGCAGTCCATTACAAAAAATATTGTTTATATTGATCTATACGATAACTGAAAGGTATCTTCTTAAAACACCATAGTTTAGTAACTGAAAGTATCTTCGATACCCTTGAAATCTATATTTACGTTGGTGTAGCTTACATGTGATGCGCCAACATTCTGTAATATCCAGCTAGGATCCTTGGTGCCAATAAACATGATAGCAGTTACTGAATCGCTGTATTGTCAAGACGCACATAACTGTCTGATAAAAATTATCTCCATAATCTCTAGTATTAGAATTATTAAATGCTGGTTCTCCTTTCAATAAGTCCTGCTTAACTCAGAACAGCTCTTTAAAACAAATGTAAGTACACTACAATAACTTATCAAATACAAAATCTTACAAGACAAAGTATGTTAGGAAAAATCACAAATATAGTGTAATATACTAGATATTGCATAGTCTGTTAAATCACATAATTAATCTGAAGTTGATTAGAAAATAGTTCGCATCATGATGTTTAAGAGAGAGAGAATTAAACAAACAACTTAATATTCACCATACATAAGGAATCAGCATAGCACGTTTAGATGCCCAGTCAGGGAAATTTTCTTTATACCAACTATGATTCATCCAAATACAACACAATTGATTACACACTGTGAAAAGTAACATATGCGAGAACGGTATCCATTTTGGAGTAAGAAACAATTGGAATGATAAATAGATTGCTATTTCTAGTATGTAATGAGGACATGATACCCAATGAAACATACTACCTTCAGGTGGATAATATTTTTTCTCCGATGATTGGCCTAAAAACAATTTTTAAAAAAAATGTTCCAAGTAAACAACAAGTTGGTAAGCTATTCAAATATATGAAGATGAAAATATGGATTTTATAGGTTAAGTAACATCTAAACGTATCTCAATACTTGAAGCCGAAAAACCTATCACTCAAGTAATTTACTATAAGTGTTTGGTCATAAGACCGTCCACAGTTTATCGATTTTTATCTTATATCATAAAGTATAAGGGTATTATCGATGATTTTAAAAAAATTTTCTGGTATGAGATTGCTGATTATTAAATAAAGCTATGTATTAGTAAAGCTTTATAATCCCCCATTCCTAATATTCAGGACTATAATTGCTTAAGTCTGTTTTGGATTTTACGGTTAATCACATATCAAGCATACTACTATTGTGGTGCGAGCTACTTATAAGTAGTATATGACGTGAGTGTCAACGTAATGTCTGGCAGAAGAAGATGGGGGAAGATCAAGAAAGGAAGAGTTAGAACACAATGGAATTTGTATGAAACGCATGAATAGTGACAATGGATTGATGTTTTTCAACAGGAACAGTCCAGTTCGATATGATGAACTGACATTTTGCAAATTAACGATATGGTTTTCCGATTTTACTGAGTAACTCTGTAATTTTGGTTAAATACAGTTCGGTTGCCCCCACCTGTGTTCTCCTTCACTATACTATCACAAGGAAAACAATACTGTAGTTTAATGCATGCATTTTTTTGAAAAAGTCTAATTTAACAATATTTAACGTTTGAAATGCTACTTAACGTTAAATTCATGAGTTTCAGATTTGCACTACCTGCCATACAAAAGTAATACCAAACTGGATTGGTTGTGACATCGTATTAGATAATCAGTTTGAGATGTTATTGCTAGTGTTTAATAAGTAAGTAATAGTGTTTCATCTTCAATTATCAAATGAATGGAATATTAGTTTCAACAATAGTATGTGAACTGAAGTAACTATTTAACAAACAACCTAGGTCACTTTGAGGTTTCTCAGATTATACTTTCAAGGAATATACGAGGAGCTAAATATATAACCCTTACATATTCATTTATTTTAAGTAATGAAATATTGCTATTTATTGAACTAATTTAAAAAATGCACATAAACGATCAATAGATCTCAACCGGCTTAGTGGTTAATTCACTCATCACAGTTTATATTGAAAGCATTTTATTATGAAACTCCGATATAATTCTACAAACGATTAGATTTCTTTTAAACAATGAATACATTCACAATAGTCCGTCAGTCAGATGCAACATAGAACTTCGTACGTAAGTACATCAGTTCATGTCGCCATACCACATCAGCACACAAATGTAATTGTCAATTCAAATCCAATAGTAGAAGAGGTAGTAAAGGTATTAGAAGTAATCGGAGAGGTTAGGATTAGAAGATATTATTCAAGAAGTATGATTCAATGAGAAAAGTTTAGAAAGTCAAAACTAGAGGTGTTGAAGAACCCAGAAGATTAGGATTTGAGAGAACACAAAGAATAAATGCACTGGCGCCATTGCGAACGATTTTGAGCCATTTCATTCAAGGTTCCTAACCATCGATTATTATCATCTCGCCGACCCCAACCAGGTAGTCGACACTTACCGACATGACCCAGTCCACTCGTCAATGACTTCATGGATTTCTGCCATGTTTTGGTTTGACCACCCCTAGCTTTCTTCCAACCTATTCCTACACTACAAAACAAAGCTCGACGAGGCAGTCGGTGATTGGGCATACGCAACACATGTCCCAACCACCTCAACTGATGAAGTCTCAATACTTCATCTATTGATCTGCCATTCTTAAATAGCACCCGATTCCTAATAACAGCGTTGCTCACTCAGGTGTCCCAGGATATAAGAGCAATGCTTCGAAGACACGTATGATCGAAAACCAGTAACCTACGAATATCTTCTCTCACTGGCCATGTTTCACAGCCATAAAGTAAGAAGGAGCGAACCACTGCGTCCAACGATGAGACGACTTTGGAGGTCGCCATTTCAACAGATTTTTTTCCTTATGCCTAAAGTTAGTGTTTGCTAAGAATAGGCGGTTGTCTGAGCATACTTGCATCAGACGGTCACCATTTTCTGTTCTTTGAGCCGCGAGACCGTAACATACACCTAGGTGTCTCTCCTGCTCACTTAGTCTACCTACTTGAGCATTAAAGTCACCAGCCATTATTACTATATCAGAGCGCCTAGCTTTTTGGAGGAGGTCCGAAAGCTTTCTGTAAAACTCATCTTTAACCTCGTCTGAACTGCAGTCAGTGGGGGCATAGGCAGATACGATGAAGAGGCAACGGAGAGTGTCCCTATCTTTCCGAGTCCTTACTGTCCCGTTTAGTCGGACAGAGCACAAACGACTATCTACTGGGATCCAGTCAAGCAGAGATTGTTCAGCTCTACGACTCAATGCTATGCCTACGCCAGCAAGACCCCGGGAAGCAGCATCAGGGCTTCCAGATACACGAAGAGTAAATCGAGCTGCTTCTTTATTTTGACAAGGTCATATCAGATTAATAATTTTACTAGGATCCTGTATGCGCGTTTCCGAGACGCAGCATACATCGATGGCACAAGATTCTACAGTCCTAGCTAATGATGCCTGTTGCCCTATTTGACACAATGTCCGTACATTAAATGCTCCAACATGTAGACTAGAACGAGGTTTCAAGTGACCAGTAATGACGTTTCGTGAACTCGCATCGTTTGCATTAGCGGTGCAGTCAGATAAGGGAATGTGAGTAGAGTTACTTGTGGAGAGAAGAGAGGTATGTGTGGGTGTAGGAAGGATTTGATTTCGACCAAATTGGTATCTCGTGCTGTTACGGGTATGAGGGCGGTTGTCACTTCCCGGCTGCCCACACCGTGGAAGGTTGTTTCTTGAGGGACCTGAAAAGGAAGATAGATTAGTGTTGGTCATGGAGACCTGGGAGCGTGACCACAGAGTCCAAGGGATAACTGCTTGAGGCCGGTCACACACGGCCTTTTTATGAAGGGTTTTTTGAGGATTAGCTCCGTTCTTAAAGGCCCTTAGTGGACACCCTTACCCAAGGAAACGGAAATCCGTGAGGTAGGGGAGGTGTGACATATTTAGGGCCGACCTTTTCTAACCCTTCCTTCCTTGTGAGAAGGCAGCATCGCTGCAGATGCTAGTTGTCCGAGGGAAACACCTTACTGCTGTCACACCCCTCTGCAGTCAGTAGTACGACTTCGCCCTCAGACCTTGGGCAGCTGCTTTTAGTCTCATCGTTCTCCAACCGACCAGCCTGGCATGGTAGGACCTGCAGGAACATATGTTCCGGCCAGTATAGCTCGGTTGGGTCATCACGATAGGCAAGCCCGACCACCACGTCAAGGTAGCTAGTAGTAGTAATTTGTAATTCACAATAGTAAGTCTACTATATTGTATTTCTTTGCTAAGATTTCTGGTGATATTATAAATATGGAACTAGTAAAAGGTATGATTAGTCAGCAATTTAATTAGTACAATGTAAAATTATAGGAACAAACTTGTGGTTGAGTGAAGCTAACTTAGACTTAAAGGAAGAAGGTAATCACTATCTGTGACCTGCAAAGATAAATACTAGCATTTCTAACAGAGGTGAAATTTTTAATCCACGAGAAAACAGGGCTGTGTTTGAAACTCAGTACATTCTTTTTAAGAATGATATACAACAAACAATTCCGTTTATTAACTGACTATCGATACATGAAAACTCTGACATTAGGTACTCGATTTAACAATGTGAATATCAGTTGAAAACTTTATTGACAGGTAACAGTAGCAAATATATCTACTGGTATACATAGTGATCAGATAATTAAAGCAGAAGCTTTGAAATATCGAGGAGAAATCGTAATCAAACTTATAGTTCTCAAATTTATCCACAGACTAGATCATGTTGAAGAAGCCTATTGATTGACTGGTTGGAGGTAGTTGACAGGAAACACGTATAAGCTTAAGTATCGTTCTGTTTGGCGCCCATTAGTAACGTGAACTTGGAAAAGACAATTAATGTCAGACGCTTATAAAAGTCAATCCTCCAGACCAAATTCTAAACATAAAGAGATCATGAACAAATAAAGAATAACTTTGTGAAATCAAATATCACGTAAAAATTACCTGCACTTTTGTTTTTTCCTGTACGTAAAGCAGCCAACTGTTGCATAACTAAATCTTGTAAATATTGGAGTATTAATATGTGTACACTAAATAAAACAATGGCCAAGTATGATCGTTCAGCTGAAAGATAATTGATTGTGAAACGATAAAACTAATGAAGTTATGTAAATGAAATGTTATATAACGAGTTTATAGATAAATAAAGAAAAACTTAACGATAATTACTTTTTGGATGCTCTAAGTAAAATCCATTGAAACAGGGTTCATAAATAAAAACGACATTGTTGAAATCTAAGTGTCCGTATTATCAGTCTCAACACCTTCCACCTAAAAACGAAGGTATTAGTGTCGGTCTGAGCAACCTGGAAGCGTGACCACAGAGACCAACGGACAATTGCTTGAGGCCGGTCACGTACGGCCTTTTTATGGGAAGATTGTATAGTGTTAGCTCTGCTCTTCAAATGGCCTCACATTAAACAATCTCATCTTAATGTATGTTGGTTTATGTGGTAAATGAACACTGAAATATCATGTCATACAAACAAATTAACATAACACCGTGTAACTGCATTAAAATTGATGCAGTATGACAACAAGAAATGACCTAGTGAGAAGGCCATCAAATGGCCACCAGAAAATGTCCTAGAAAACAGACGCATATCATTGGTCAAGAAAAGGCTACATTTTCTAAGATGGAATATATATATATATATATATATATATATATATATATATATATATATATATATATATATATATATATGTATAATAGCTTAAAATATTTTAACCTTTGATACAATTTCATGTTACTGCACAATCCAGTACATACAGAAATAAAATGAAGAAAATATTGTGTATGAATAATCATAACTAACTAAAGAGAAATAAAAGATAATGAAATTATTAACTGAATAACACAGAATCAATAAAATCCATTGTTAAACATGTTAATTGTGTAAAATAATTAATTTTGAATTACCTGCGTTACTTTGAGAAAGTAAAATGGAAATAGGAGCGACAACAAAGAATCCAACACCGATCAAAAAGTGCATAAAACTCATTTGTGCATTACTAAATATGGAAACGTATTCACATTCATAAAATCGACGTACAACTTGCACCAAAAATAAGATCAGAACTGAAAGTATAGTCTTGTTGACAGCTGAAGTTAGAAAAAAGTTTTAAAAAATTTAATATATTTAGATAGATAAATTTAAAACAAAAAAAACACATCTTAATAAATAATAATCATATGCCTACTAGTGACTGGATTTGAAGAGGGCTTTTCATAGGCTTAATAAGGAACTATAATTAGCAAAGTTAACCGAATCAAGAGTGAAACAGTAAATTGCATATGACAATGGAGTATTGAGCTAAACCAGTTAGAGGTCGAACAATGAAATGGACTAAGGTTCAGTGCTCTAAGAATACAATTTCGGGCGAACTCTGAAGTGCACACTATTGAATGGATACTGGTCTTCAAATATTGTTTATCTAAGATTGATTTGCGATGAAAACAATTTCCAAGTTACTTAGTTCTATGAACAAACTTGATATATTTGTGTTATGGGTGATAAATCAAGACTATGGTTCAAAACCAATATGCAACAGCTCCGACTATACTAAAAGATTGATCTACTACAGAGCAAAGAAGATTAATTCACATACAAGTTTACTCAGTGATTCGTCAAATATATTTAGTGGTCGGTAAAGATGTATATACTGAGCAATCATCATCATCAACAGCAACGTAGAACTTTGTACGTAAGTACATCAGTTCAAGTTGCCATACCACATTAGCAGAGATGTAATTGTTCATTCAAATCCCATAGTAGTAGAGGTAGTAAAAGTATAAGGAGTAGTCGAAGAGATTAGGGTTCGACGATCTTATTCAAGAAATATAATTCAGTGAGGTAAATTTAGAAAGAGGAACATAGAGGTGTTGAGGAATTCAGAGGGTTAGGGCTTGAGAGAACACAAAGAATGTATGCACCTGTGCCATTGCAAACGGTTTTGAGACGTCATTAAGAGTCTCTAACCATCGATTATTATCATCTCGCGGACCCCAACCAGGTAGTCGAGAACTACCGACATGACTCAGTCCACTTGTCAGTGACTTCATGCATTTCTGTTATGTTTTGGTCTGGCCGGCCCTAGCTTTCTTCCAACCTACTCCTGCACCACAAAACATTGCTAAACGAGGCAGTCGGTGGTTAGGCATACGCAACACAGGTCCCAACCACCTCATCACCACTTCATCTAATGATCAGACATTCTTACCTAGCACCCGTTTCCTAATAACAGTATTGCCTACTCGGCTGTCCCACGATACTCGAGCAATGCTTCGTAGACATCTATGATCCAAAACCAGCAACTTACGAATACCTTATACTCTGACTGACCATGTTTTGCATCCATAAAGTAGGACAGAGCGAACTACTGCACAGTACACTCGTCTTTTAGTTAGCGAACGGATATTTCGTCTACTCCATAAGTGACGCAGGTTGGCAAAAGCCAGTCGAGCCTTCTGTATCCGTGGTAGGATTTCGTCAGTCACCAGGCCATCAGCACTGATGAGGCTCCCCAGATAAAACTTAAATCTTACAACGACATTGTGCTTTACCAATTTGTTATTCACAGAAAAATCAGAGTAGTTAATCAAAAATTTCAGCTACTGACATGATGATTAAATAATTATGTTATGGAAAATAGAAGTGGAATAACATGAAATTTAAAACAGTAAAAAAATATATAACAGTGTAAGAAACCATATGTCCAAATCAACTTACATAGCATAAATAATTCAACCAATAGGGCACAACAGGTGAAGACGATGCCAGTTAAATAAAAATATCTAAACCATCTGTAAATAAACATTTAATGCATAAATTATAAGTTAGAGAATATAATTTATTGATCGGAAAAAAAAGGTAATCATTTTTTTGTTTAGTTAAAAAAAAAACAAGTTTAGTTCACTAGTGAATCCCTTGGTAATTTACAGGAGTAACAAAGTGAAAACGAAACTGACAGCTCTATGCATAGAAACAATCCTACAAACAAGGTCCATTTTTTCTGGTAAAACATATTTGTAGATAAAAGATTTTGCACAAAGTAAGTAGAAATCCACTACTTATTTCTTTTGTAGTTTTAAAGTAAGTGTCACAAAACTTTGACGAACTGTTCAACTTCTTTGATTAGAAATTACAGAAAACAACAAATAGTGGTAATGATAAGTTATAAGCTGATTAATATCAGGAAATATTAACTACTGTATTCCGAATCAATATATGCGATCAAAACGCAACTGTAGTAAAATACGAGTTATCAGTTCGCTCTTCACAAAAGTGGATAATGCTGACAGATCATGAACTAGGATGAAAACAAATTACTCTACACATTTGTGTGATATTACTGTATGATGAGACTTACCTAAGAGAAAACTGGATTTTTTTAAAATGAAATGATACAGAAAGACTGCTGGGATGTCATTATTTTTCAAAACGGAGGGTGGTACATCGAGGTAGTCAGTGGTTGAGCATACATAGTACATGTTCCAAACATCTTAGTCGAAAGAGATTCATTTCTTCATCAGTCCATTTGCTATCCGTACAAAGTACCCTGTATGGTGTATAAGCAGACTGGAAGACAGCTGGGGGTGTCGAAACCAAAACATGGCACTAATCTATGAAGTCATTGACAACTGGACTGAGCCAAGTTAGTAAGCATAGACTACCTGGTTGGGGCCTGCGAGACAATCGTAACAGGTTGTTGGAGACTTCGGATGACATGGCTCAAAATCGTTTGCAATGGCGCAGGTGCATTCATTCTTTGTCTTGTCTCAAATTCTAATCTGAATTTCTCATGACCTTTTTTCTCTTTCGGAATCTATTTCACTGAATCATGTCCTCCAACCCTAAATTTGTCCGTTACAAATAATACTGCTACTACCTTTATTACAATGGGGTTTGGACCGACAATTTTATTCCCTATGCTAACATGGTCTGATGACATGAAATGATGTACGTACCAACTTCTACGTTGTAACTGAATGATTCACTTTTATGCTGCATATTAAACACCCTAATTTTTGAGGTTTTATTTTATTTTACAAACAATCATAAATTTACGTACTTTAATTTCAAATTACGTATTTGCCATATATTTGACAATCCTTTGAGTGATTAATTAGAATTTATACCTGTTAGATTAAGAGGGTGCAAGGATGAACATTTCAAAAAAAATGTATGCGACAGAAGTTACCGAAATAGTATAGAACCTAATAGGATAGTGTGTCAACTCAACGCATAGCTACGAAATGTCCTGGTGTTACCGAAAGTGGAGAAAGTTAATTCTCTTTTTCGAAAAGTTCTCATATAGTCTTGTGTATATATATAGTCACTGTCAGGGTAATCATATTTGTTTTAGCTTTACACTGGTCAGCATATACACACGAAACCAGACCACACCGCACCAACAAATGGAAATTAACAACTATACACGAGTGAACCGAAAGTGGCTATGAGAAAGGAAAATTGTAAATAAAAAAACTGTCAACTAAATAGGGACAGTAAACAGTATGACAATCATTTATGGGTTAAAAGAAAGTTTACGATACAAGGAATACGTATATGGGTTAGTCTAATTAATTGGTATTTATGCAATTAGATTATAAACATCAATAATCGATTAGTTGATTGCCTAAGTTCCTACTTACTTCAATCTTTGTTCGGATATAACAATACTCACTGCTTTCTCGTGGCGCCAGTGTTTTTATGCAAAATCGAGGGAACGAAATGAGAATGTCCAGTGCATTAAACGAGTTGGTGGACACAAAGCATTCAGCTAGTGGAGTTGGAAAACCTTCATTCTACACCAATGATATACATGGGAGAAAGGATCCTGAGGGAAAAAATGATGTATGAACCCGTCGTTCGTGACCGGCTACCATGTGATTGGATCTCGTTATGTCACTTCACTGACAAGGTGGATTAGACTTATGGGTCAAAGGCTCAGATAGTGGCTTTCCAAGAAAACCACCTGTTTCGGTTGTAGTAGCCAAACAGTATATCAACCCACGCACTAAATCAATGATTTGTGTGGCGCATTAAAATTTAGGTGCCTCTTTGCACCAATGTTTGTCTGTTTAAATAAAAAGACCTTACTCGCCATAATTTCCAACAAATGTCGAGAAAGAGCAATCGGAAGATTAAACGGAAATTTAGAGCAAAATCAAAAACTACAAAAAAGTGAAGACTATAAGATGTAAACAGAAATTAAATAGGTGCATCCTAAATTAATTTTAGAAATTTTATCCTGGGATTAGATTTTCCAGTCTCTGAAATCTTGTGTCTTCTTGCTAGGTGGTTCCAATAATTGTGGCTGAATGGTGTCACTTTTTGATCAGAATACGTTGTAACTGTTCGCCACTTTATTCGTCATCCAATTACCATTGGACAAGCAGCAATTAAGGGGTTGTCTAATATATAAACTAGTTTAACATGCTAGTCTACTGAATTCTTTTGTGATAATAAAGCAATTGCAACACATCTATGAAAGGAAAATTGAATTTTCGACGTCCAGCACCACAAAAAATGCACCCAATGCCCAGTTTATTTGAAACTACCAAATCGTGTTATGGTAACGAGCTTTTTTTTTAGAGCTTCATAGTAAGAATATTCTATTTGTCAGCATATATAGATGTGCATACAAACTGCTCTAAAAATAACAAAAAGTCTTAAAGAAGTGATCGAATCTTTTCGATCTTGCTAGATGGATTAAAATAAGAATTTAAAGATTACCAATTAGTGGAATAGTTTATAAGCAGAGAAGTGATGCGTTTGTATGGTATATTTCATGGTGATTTACGTGGAAACAATAAAAAAAAACTAGCTCTGAAGTTAAATGAACTGAAATAAGAAACAGTAATTAGACTTACCTTTTAGGAACTCTTAAATACTCCCAAGGTTTACAATACTGAGGTTTTGATTTACCAAACAGGAGGCAATGTTGGACAAGTAGTGGAGAATATGAACCATAAAAACGATAGCAAACTGCAAATAACACACTAGCTATCCCAGCACCACTAAATATTCTTGGAAGTGGTGATAAAACGTTTACAGATATTGTATCCTGTAATGATAAGACATATACATCATCTTTGTAATAATTATTGAACAAAACAATTGTTAGACATAGTTGTTCCTCATACAAAAAGTGAACATCGTCTACAAATCTTTATATTTAAACACAAACATTGATGAAAAGAGGCACCTAGATTTTTATGCCTGGCTGTTCAAACTGAGATAGGTGAGTTTTTAAGAGGGCATTCCTAGAGCCTTTGACTCAAAAGTCTAATCCATAAGGCAGTGGAACAACCTCAAAGCATCAGACATTCGAATTTCGTCTGCCAGATTTCATCAACAACGTCCCTATCATGAGGGTGGGGAATTCCCTGACAGTGGGTATACACAAATCTTATTCATTTACAAAAGCTTGGATTACTTAATTTGCCGTATTAATGCTACCAGTAAGCGCATGATCTAATTATTGAAATGAGGATATCCGTAGAACAGTTGCTAACTAGGGGATGCAGAGTGAAGTAACTGTTTTGGAAATTACACTTTGCAATTTAAAAGCTAAATAAACATCGAACTAAAAGGCGAATGCTAATCAATAAGAGATAAAAGTAAAGCTTATAATTTAGCTAGCAACCTGAAAATCCCAAGTATTACAAGATCGGAGGAATTAGACTGCGAATTCGTTAATGCAGACCTGTTCAATATATCTGTAAGTTGTTGAATTTATGCGAGCTCTAGCAGTACCCTATTTGATAAGTGACCAGACAAAACAGAATACCTTACGACGTATTTTATACTTGGTTTGTATAGTGTAAATACAATGATCAGGTAAGAGACAAAATGGACCTGTAACTCATGTTCATTTATTATTAAACAGTAAACTTATTTATTCAGTGTTACTGGAAAATTCACGGGGTCATTTCGAAGTCTCTTCCAGAAAAAAACCTGGTTATAACATACACCAGTGCTGTAAATGCATGATCTTTTTGGTCGAAGAAACATTTGAATGGTAGAAGCCCAAAAAGAAGTAAGGGATTGGGAGTAAGCATTACAACAGAAAAATCCTGTTCATTTATACAAACATTATTTACTATACCCCAACTAGCATGTAACATACGTAACAAGTGATCAGCAACCTGCATCTAGATTAAGTGCCTTAAGTGATTAGGCTTGCATATTATGTAATTCCATAATAAGTATGTCTAGTAACTTTAAAGATTGTAGAAAATAGATAAGACACATACCATTTTGCTGTTGATAAGATAAGAAGCGAGGGGCTACATTTATCTTAAAAGTGTAATTGTGACAGTTATAGCAATTAGTTACGACCTAGCAGGACTCATCACTGTAAAAAATTACATTATTCACGTGGTTTCAAATTTTGATAAGTTTTGCGATGAAATTAAGTGTTTACATGACTTTCTGCTAACATGTTCAAGTCAGTGCCGCTAAAATGCCACTTCAGACGTTACTTAGTTGGAATCTATGTCAGTATTAGTCCAAATTCCGTAAGATTACAACCTATTTCTGAAGCTTACTGCTCATGAAGTGTATAAAGTATGGTAACATTCCTATGAACCTGAACTATGACTGTAAACAATATTTAAAAATGGGCTATAACGTTTAGAGCAGTTAAGATCCTTTCAGTTTCATTAATAAGGATAGTAGGTCGATCGAATTGTGTTAATCTTTGCAGATTATTTTCCAGTGGAGCCAACTTTTACTTGAAAGTGTTCACTGATGGGGCTGATATCATTTGTTTAGATAAGGTGTTCCAGTCACTTAAAACTTGATGTGAAAAAAAGTACTCCCACTCTGAGTTCATTTGATCAGTTTTCGAACCTTCTTCCAATGGCGTTAGAGATGATTAGCTCTGGAAGGAGCTGAAGGACAAGACATTTTAACACCCAAATCGTTATTCAGGAATGTTAGTATAAAATAAACTCAAGTGCTATGACAAGATAAGGGTAAAAGGTTTAGGCGTTTTAAGAACTAATCTTAAGAAATTAGGGAGACAAATTAGTGGGAACGTAAGTCATCCGCCATCAAACTTATCACGGATGTTTTGTTTATAAAATTGCGAGAGGCTATGTAGTACACACTTAAGGTGTTTTGGGAACCACAGATCTCGGGAGCATTGGTTTTCAAGACCTGACTATATGAAAACCCTGGATGCTGACGTGTCTCGCCATCTTAATTTAGTTAGATCATTCTTCCATCGCATTCAACTTTCAAGTGACCAAAGAGGTCAGGTTCGAATTACGAGTTTTGTGTGCATTGATCAGCATAACGTTCCTTTTACTCGTTACTTCCGAGTACTAGCTTCAAGATCATTTGCGGTTGGCTTTCGCCCCCAACTCATTTATCGAGACTTATTATCTTAGTAATATTTAGTCTTAAAATCCCATCCGGCAGTACATTTCTACAAGCAAATTCCACTAACCCTAGATCATGTGCATGTCATTTAGCATATTAATTTTCTTTTGATTCCTCTAAGCCCCAAATAAATAAACTCAGGACGGATTTGACTCCTCCTCCAGAGGTATTTACGGTTTTTGATTGGGTTGTCGTTTCCGACTACTTTTGGACAAATCTATTCATTCATGTTAGCTTACTTTTCTTGTGAGAGTTTTGCTTTTTGTAAATACTACGGTTCCATTCACCTCATTTCCAGTGTTAAGAGTTGATGAGTTTCCGATGAGTGGTGGTTTTCTTGTCGCGAGTGCGAGACTTATTATGACTGCTTGTAAAAAAGTCTATAGTTAGTTACTCAGCCTCTCGATCAACAATAAGAGCTGGGATAACGGCACTAAAGACTACACGTGTTGCTTCATCAGCGTCTAACATCAGACCAGCTGAGTAAACATCGACATTCAGCAACTTCATCCGAATAGGGAGATCCAAAACCTAACCAGGCAAAATCGCCTTGGTAAGTAAGTGTTCTCTAAACATGATGAGGCTGCTTTACAACAACGATCGCACGCGGCCGGCGACAAAATGGTACATATTATGTGAGATTATCTTTTACAACTATCCTGTTACATGTCATGTTTAATGGGGCATAGGCATAACATTCTGCCCCATTGATGACGTTGTGACCACTTTAACCAGAAATATGTGGAGAAGACTGGACAATTCACAATGGCGAACCACAAAAAGTCAAATAATTAAGACGTTACTAAAGTAATTACAGTAATGTACCAAAACCGTAACTTTGACCAGTGACAGGTAAAGCGAAAAAACTTCAGGTTAGCAAACTGAAATTAGGGAAGGGATAACGATAAAAATGTATATAATACATGGTGTCTTTGTTGGCACGCAGAGAAGTAAAACCTCAGCATACAAACGTTAATCAGTGAATCCACAAAAAGAGAGAACACGGAATGGCAGATAACAGATTGTATTATTGAATATTTAACAACGCGTTCTTACTACAAACAGGAAAGCTTATTTACAAAATAGTCTCTAACATTATTCGGCAAGTGCAGTTTAGGCGGGGCTCGTTCTACTTTCGGCAGTTATTCTTCGTCAGCATAGTGATTTTCTGGTAACCGATATATTTTTCTGGAGTCAGTAGGAACCAATTAATTTCTTTGCACTCGATCCTCGTTCTTTCAGTACGGTCCCAAGTAAATAGTAACGAACAACGTTACGTAACCTTCAGTATAATAACGCGCCGTGTTTGGTAGTGTCCAATGAATGCGCATCTCCAATATCAAATATCCAATATCTCTTTCACACGCTAGTATAAACCAGTTGATTTCTTTGCGCTCTATTCTTGTTCTTTCGGTATTGTTCCAGGTGTTCCAGAGTGTCGAATGGATGGAGGTCCAACCACTCGACTGTCTAATTCTAGTCAGTTGGTTGTGAGTTTGTATGTCCCGTGATTTGAATGAAAACGTTTGTTTCAGGGCAGTAGGGTTTCTGGATATCAGCAGCTATCACATTACCAGACCGGAGATCAGTTAGTTGCAACGTGGAGAATAATGAGGATAAAATTCTAACGCTAATAAGAATAAGATTTCACAACTAAGTAAATAAATGGATTATTTAGTTTATTAATTGGTAATGAAGATTTCGCGAGAATACCGAGGTGTAAGCAAGGGAGAGGAAACAGAGAAAATAAGGGGGATTAATTTACCGATCTGACGCGGTAATAATACTAGGCTAGTCACAATTGTCCAATGCATTTCACTGATTCCAAGCACATTCAGGTCGTATCTTTTCATTTCTGCGGCAACAGTCTTTCAGTCTCCCGAATTGTGTGAACATTCTATGTACCCTAAGAGAATGGTTGCTGATGTTGCAAGAAGAGGCGTCGGCCTCGTGACTTCCGAAGGAACTCGGCTTTCATCGTGAGACATCATAACTCTTCTGAATGGGGACCTTCTAACTGCCAGAGTAGAATTACGGCAGTTTGAATTAATTTTTCTGGTTAGTGTTTTCCTAGCAAGGTAGCTTGGACCGGCTTTTCCATGCCCGTTGCTCAATAGATGTAAGGTCCTTCTGAAGCTCAGTCGAATTCTCTTTACCTCCAATGGACCTCCAGATCTTTGCATCGTCTGCCTAGATCGAAAACGCCAGTTGATTTTATCTGACAGGCCATTAACCAATATTGGGAGGTAGAGGGGATCTAAGATGGCTGTAGAACCTATTTTGAAGGCTTTGTTTTGGAAAAATTCCCCCATGTATATATTTGTAATGTGTTCTTGCTGACTCTTTCTGTACTACATTTTGGTACTCTGTTTAATCCTATTTTTTGATATTGATATTTGTATTTTGTTATAGTTCCTATTTTTTGTACAGTTATTGGAGTTTCTATGTTTTCTACTAAACTGTATTATCTTGTTTAAATCGATACTTACTTACGGCGTCAGCCATATCGGATTCGACACTCTGGGCGGCGAAACTTGAATCTGGACTGGAAGGGTGCGATTTTAGACCTATACTGACCATATCTGCATCGAGTTAAGATTCAGTAGGACAATAGAGGACGTAGGAAAATACTGAGGAGCTGGCATTTCTTCAGATCACCTTTTGGTTGTAACCAGAATGGAACTGAAGCTAGGGAAACTGTACACAACTGGATTAACCGTACTGCAAAATCTTAATAGGCCTTTCTGTGCAATAATAGCAAACCTAACGAATTCAGTCTAGTTCTCGGCAAGGTACTATGTATAAGATCAAAGAAAGAATGAACAGGAAGACAGCAATCAATAAAAGTTGAACAAGAACAGAATGACTCATGGTGAAAACATAGAAACAAATAAGCAAGTGGTCAGGAGAATCAGAATCGATAAACGAAAATATGCGGGAGATCTAGCAATGATAGCAGAAAAACTACAAGAGAAGGCGATGAGCGACACCTAAACGATACCACGGATCTCCCTGGAAAATATAGTAAAGTGTGAGGACTACTGAGGTTCCAGTCTAATTCCAGTGCCAGGAGAATTTTTCAACGGAGTGCTGCCAAACCGAATGAAAGATTCCATAGATGTCCAACTTTGAGATCGTTAGGCTGAATTCTGTAAGGATCGATTGTATACCGACCAAATCTCATTATTCGAATCATTGTGAGCCAATCAGTTGAATGTAATTCACCACAGTACATCAACTTCATTAACTACGAGAAAGCATTTGAATTCGCAGACCAGATGATATTACAGAGGCTTCCTCGACATCCAATATCCAATATCTTTTTCACGAGCTAGTGTAAACCAATTTGATTTCTTCGCGCTCGATTCTTGTTCTTTCGGTACGGTTCCAGGTGTTCGGTAATGTCCGATGGATGGAGGTCTAGCCACTCGACTGTCTAATTCTAGTCAGTTGGCAGTTGCTTGTGAGTTTGTATGTCTCGGGATTTGAATGAAACGTTTGTTTAAAGGCAGTAGGGTTTCTGGATACTAGCAGCCGTCACATTACCAAACTGGAGATCAGTTAGTTGCAATCTGGAGAGTAATAAGGGTAATAAGGATAAAATTAAAATGATGATGTGAATAAATTTTCAGAACTGAGTAATATATTGGTGAATTTAGTTTCTTAATTGTTAGTGAAGATTGTGAGAGAGGACCGAAGTGTAAGCAAGGGAGAGGAAACAGAGATAATAGGCGAGATAGATCAATTGAGTGATCTGAGGAGATGG